CCACTGGAATCCAGATGACAATGGAACACTGTCTTCCAAATTCCTAAGAGAAATGGTTCCCAACCAAGAATACTATACCTCACCCAACAACCGTCAGTAAAGTGCAAAGATAGAAAAAAATTTTTTAGAAATTCTGTTTCTCCAAAAATTACTCTCTCTGCACCTTTCTCAGGAAAGTTCTGTAAGATGTGTTCCGAGGAAATAAACCACGAATGAGGATGGCATGGCATATGAAAATAGGGGACATAACACAGAAAAGAACGCCCAGGACAATGTGAGGTTGACCCAGGATATCAGCAGGGCACCAGGTATAGAAGGTGACCAGTCCACAAGGGAGCAGACCAGAAGCTCCAAAGGAGATGTCTTCAAGATGAAGCTGAAAGAGACTGTAACTAAACATGCCCAGATATTACTTTTTTAACAACTGGCAGAACTGGAGTAGAATTGGCTGTACACTCATAGAAGACCAAACAAAGGCCAAAGTATTGTTCATTCCAGGGAAAACACGAAAGTGATAAGGAAAATGTCATCAATACACAGTTCAGCTCTGAACAGCTTTTAATAATGAAAATAATGGGAACATTGAATACTTAATCAAATTTATAATTACTTTTGAGGGAAGGAAGTCTAAAAAGTGTGTGCATGCATTCGTCTATGTGTGTGTGTGTGTGTGTGTGTGTGTGTGTGTGTGTGTGTGTGAGAGAGAGAGAGAGAGAAAGAGAGAGAGAGAGAGAGACCTCTCTCCAGACAGAAACAAGAGACCCAATTAGTGGCTGCAAGAGAACAGGGGCAAAGCACACATGGGGCAATGAAATTGGGTTAAATCTTCCATGTTAAGTCAAACCATGACAACAGCAACAAAAACCAATATAAGCAGTTTACACAAAAATATGGAGGTAATACCAAAAGAATCAAGTGCAAGAATTGGAAAAGGCCACCTCTCAGGGAGCAGGTACTGCTGTTTTCCTAAAAATCCTAGCAGTACTCTCTGACTATGCACATCCATAATGTTGGGAAACAAAAAGACTGGAGAGAAACGGTTTGAAAAATTCCTGAAAATACCAGGCACAGCACACAGCTTTAAGTGTAGCCTCCATCAATCCTATTAGCCAGAGGATAATTAGGTAGCCAAGACAAAGGAGGTCAGTTAATGATATAACAAAAAACATTTCATTTTTCAAGTCAAAAGAAGAGCCCAATGGATAGAAATTAGGCCACATTCTCGATTCCCTTGGTAAGTATCTAATTTACTTAAGTCCAAAACAAAACATTTTTTAAAAATACATTTTGTAGTTCTTTTTTAAAAAATGAATCATTGGTATTTCAAGATGTGATATACACAGTTTTGAATTTACCTAATCAGCTCCATTTCAAAAATGCCTATCTTTTAGTATAAATTCAAACCAAAGGACCCATTTTCAATTTTGTTGTAACACTGTTGACCTTAAACAGATTTTTCTGTTGCCTTCTTAATAAGGACTGAAAACACAGATGGTCAGAAAGCATAACTGATGTTCAACAATAAAATAGTGACCTCTATCACAATAAAGGAGTATCTAATATTTAATGGCAAGTGCACTCCTCTGCTTCCCACTTTTCCATCCCAAACCACACCCAACACACATACCACCACCTACCCTCCACACACAACACAGAGCAAACCACAAACCCGATGCCTTCCTTGAAGGTGACTGGCTTCATTTAATATGTCAATCGAAAAACAAAACAGCAGCATGAAACCAAAGGTGAATCCCAACCACATGGAAATAACTTTCTGGCATTTTGTTTTATTAGAACTAGTACATAATCTCTTACGGAGTCACACCATAGCCCAGCAATGTGAGCAACCCGCCCATTACCGACCTCTAGCTCTGACCCAACTTCACAACATAGAGATCACTTTAGTCACGGCTGCCTGCCCCCCAGCCCCTGCACAGAAATAGAGGGAAGAGGGGAGGGATCAGGGGCTGGTTTGGTATGGCGCCAGAATGAGCACCGCGGTCACCACCAGTTATGTTTGCATTATGCTTTACAATCTTAAAAACGCACTCATGTGCATCATCCAATGTGGTAAGAGGGTTTATGATCCTTGCGCTTAATGAGAAAACTGAGACACGGAGAGCCTAAGCTGACAAAAAGAGGTCACAATGAATACATGCCGTTGGCCAAGTCTCCAGACGAGGTCCGCTAATTCAGCCTTTCTCCAACCCACATGGATTCTTTTCAAACAAGAGCATCAGAGTGGCTGTCTTCTGGTTATGGCCCCTCTTCCTAATCTCTTTATACATTCTGCATAATGGAGAGGTACATAACATATTTTTTCTAATAAAAAGTTTTGACTGTTAAAAAAAAGTTTGAAAACCACTCACCTTAACATTATATTACATGTTCTAATCTCATCTATGATTTAAAGCTGTGATTCTCAAAGTAGTCCATTCCAGCTTTATCACCTGGAAACTAGTCAGAAATGCTAATGCTCGAGCTCCACCTGGCCCTACTGAATCAAAAAGCTCTCAAGGCGGGGGCGGGGCCCAGCAACCTGTGTTTTAACAGGCCCTCCAGGTGATCCAAATGCACACCAGAGTCTGAGAACTCAGAATCTGTGATTTAGAATTGGGGCGGCGTGGGGGCTGATATACTTTGAATTTCCTCTACATATTATTACACATCATGTTTAGCTCATAAATTCATGGGTTTAATGCTTTTACCCACACTTTAAAAAAAAAAAAGATTTTATTTATTTGTCAGAGAGACAGAGAGAGAGAGAGAGAGAGAGAGCACAAGCAGGGGAAGAGGCAGGCAGAGGGAGATACAGACTCCCGGCTGAGCAGGGAGCCCGATGTGGGAGACTTGATCCCAGGACCCTGAAATCATGACCTGGGCCAAAGGCAGATGCTTAACTAACTGAGCCACCCAGGGATCCCTCACCCACACTTCTTAAATCAAACAGACGTTAGTTGCTACATCTTAAAAATGGTTACCACACATACACACACACACACATAGTTCCTGTGATAACCATATAGATGTATTTCTTCCTTTCATCTCTTGTCCTGAATAATGTAATTACTTTCCAACTCATCTTACTGCTTCTAGACTCCGACCTTTTCATTCCTGTCCTGCATCTTTGCTACACAACTATCTTTACAAAATACCTATTTCATCATGTCCCTGTCTTGTGACAGGAGTCATCTGCAGTGACTCACGACATTCCAAAAGATTAAAATCCAACATCCCTGTCCAAGCACCCTCTCTTCCCAAGCCTGCGTTTCCAGGCTTCCCTTGGCTCCCATCACAGCCCATCAGTCCTCCCAGACAGTCCTCAACACCACATCCGGGCCTTCAATTATTCTACTCACTCATAAGTCCCAAGCACTAAGAATAGTGCCTGAGACAGAGTAGATACTCAATAAACATCAGTTTGGGAATTAGGTAATCCTTAAGTTTTTGTTCATTTTATTCTACACACCTGGAATACTTTCATCCCCACAGCTCCAACTATGCGAACTGTGTGTATCCTCTCAAATCTGGATCAAAAACCACCTCCTCTGTGAAATGCACTCCAACCTCCAAGTAATTATCTAGACCACATATTTGTGCTGTTTGTTTATCTCTAGTTAAGTTCCTTGACGGCAGGAACCATCAACTTTTTTTTTGCACAGAACAAAGAACAATGCACCATGTTGTATAAGTAATGTGTAAAAAATAAAGATAATAACCTTATTAGATAAGAGAAAAAATTAAACAAGAGTTTCTCAGAGACTACAGTCAACACACACAGACTTGTACTCTCCTAGCTGCCAAAAGAAAGCCACGGGCATGCTGTGCCATGTCAGGATCAAGAGCCCCCGTTCACACTCTAGCTTCAGACTCCCAGAGCTGGCTTTAGAAAGGCCGTGGGGTTGTTCTAGCTAAAACCCAGGCAACAATCTTAGATGTGGAGAAAGAAGACAGCCAGGTGCTTTTCCCTTGCAGTAAAAAGGAACCCAAATACCTTCATCCTCACCCACACAGGTGAGTCCCCAGCATCCCCGGGCTGAAATGCCAGGCAGAAGTGAGTTGAAGCCTGGATAAACCTGCCTAGAACCCAGGGAAAGGAGGGTAAGACCAAAGCTCATCTTTGCTCAACTTGGCCAAGCACATTCTCCCCGCTCTAGTCCTGGTGAACGTAAGAACACTCAAGGGCACGGGGTTGGGTGGTATTGTTACCTGATGAGCTGGTAGTCGGTTAACAGAAGGCCTTTCTAAAGGAAGGGAAAATGTGCAATAGATCCAAGCCCAAGTCCCTAAAAGACAATACAGATCTATAAGATATTTGCTCCAGAACTGAAACCTCTGTTTACAAGCTTTGCAACCATCAGCACTATGGAAGTAAGCACCTGGCTCTGGGCCCTCCTCCAGATCCACTCCATTCCTTCACCCTTACTGCACAAAGGGCTGGGGGGGCAGGGGGCACCAGGTACTGAGCACTTCCTGTAGATGAGAGGACTGAAGAACAGGAAACTTGTTTGAGTTATCACACGTGTAATTAAAGTTGAAGGGGGAAAGGAGCTCAGATATTACTCCGACTTTTAAATTCCTGCTTTGCCCTTTTTTGCACAATTGTCTCCTGAAGAGGATCAGAACAGGCTTGTCAGGGGTACACATTTGGAAGGGAAAAACTGACCAGGATAAAATTCTCTTATTTATTTGAAAGAGAGAGAGCACATGCAGGGAGGGGTAGAGTGGGAGGAAAAATCTCAAGCAGACTCCACACTGAGCAGAGCCCCATGCAGGACTCAATCCCACAACCCATGAGATCACAACCTGAGCCAAAACCAAGAGTGGGACATTTCACTGACTGAGCCACCCAGGCGCCCCTAAAGTCCTCTTTTCTTTCTTTTTTTCTTAGAATAGAAAAAATGAATAATGAAAAATATATCACCCACCAGTTAATATACTTGACTAACTTCAACATGAGGACATAGTGCTTCACACCATGTTACCTATCAAAAATATACCGATTTAAGAAGTACTTCATTCCAGTCATGCACCAGGCAGTGCTGGAATAAAAACTGCAAAAATAAAAAAATCCATAAACATTAAAATAGGGCCTAGGATACCTCAAGGTAGAGACCCAATGTGTGACAACCACCGTGGCCCTCAACATATGTGCAGTTATGACAATACTATACAGTGTGAGAGCTTTTAAAGCTAATGAAAATGCTAAATTTTTTTAATGTTTACAAAAGAAATAACCAACCTAAAAAATCCTTAAGGTTACTCACCCAGCCTAACAAAAGAAAAACCTACCCTCGTGTATTTACTCTTCAACCAGCAAACAAGAGAGGCTGACTCAGACCAGAAAGAATTTCTCTGACCTGGAAAGAAAGCCTCACTGCAACATGGTAACTCTAAATAGCTCAGAATTCTAAAACAAACCAACAAAAACTTGACCTCAAAGCAGCTCTCCATTAGCCCCTCATATTACTTAATCCAAAAGCCACCTCCCCATTTTTCTTAAATTATCTCCAATCACTTTAAAGTACAGGACTAATTCCTTACACCTGGCAGCACTAAACATGTGTGAATCAGAAGAAATCGTCCTAAACAAATACGGGAGAGGAGACTCAAGGAAACTGAATTTTGACACAGGATTTGGCACCTACCTCCAATCTTCTCCTCAGAAGGCGAGGCAAACAGTTACCCAGCTGTGCCCTGTGGCCCCTGCACTCCAGGCCAGCACACCCCATATTGTGTGGGGTCCGGGGCAGAGTTACACAGCACCACAACATCACAACACGAATATGGCCCAGAGGCAATGGACGCCAGACCGCAGCGCTTAGAATGTGGCTCAGACCACAGCCACCTGGGAGGGTGGAGGGGCCTGTTCCTGATGTCTCCTCAGGACTGCTGTCAGAGGTGGGGCTTCCTTCTCCTCCCAGAATACCCCTATCATCAGTCAAGGGAGGGATCCATGATGGTATCTTCAAAAGATGTGCTCCTGACTCTTATTACCATGGACATCTCTGCAGGCAAGGAACATGTGTCAGCTTTTAGGAAAGATCTTCAGCAGGGAAGGGAGCAATACAGACAGACAAAGGGTATTCACTCTCTCTCACACTCACACACACACACACACACACACACACACACACTCAAATCCCAAGATACAAGCTAGTCAGCGCATGGGATCTCCTGGTCACTCACACTTGTCAGAGCTTGTCTGTAGCATCCTAGAAAGCCATACCTATCTCCTTGCTTATGAAAACCTTACTCAAATTTCAAATCCTGGCTAATATCTCTTTGCAATGTCAGTCTTCAATCCCACTTTATCTTCTGCCCTATCCCCCCACAGTATGCACAACAATGTCTTGTAGATGTGCATGTTTTATAATTTATCACTGTACTGAATCTGTAGACATTATCCATTCATTCAAATATTTATGGAGCATCTATTATATGGCAGGCACTGAACTAGGTACAGGGGTTACAGCAGTAAATGCTCCCTCCCTCCCAAACTCTCTAGTCTAGAATACAAAACAACAGGGACCCTCTCTTAAACACAACCCTCACACCCCAGAACATTCACTAATACATGTTACTACTTATCTCAAGCCAAGAACCCATTTGTATTCCTTTACTAATGTATTTATTTGAAAATATGTTGGCACTTAAGATTTTTCCTGGAAATCCCTAAGGACTCAAGACCTTATCTGGGACCATCTGGTCAATTTCAAATACATCTGAAATGGGGGCGTTTTTAAATAAGGACTCCAAGATACCTTATGGAATATATGTAAAGGAGGTTATATTAATGCCATATAATTTCTTAATTTCTTTAAATACATGGTTAGTTCTCTATCCTTATATAGTTTATAAAGTTTTCCCTTATGAGGTATTTGAAATTTAAGTACCTGTGCCTTCAATTTATTCCTTTTAAAAAATTATGGTGTATGTGGTACATGTCATCTAAGAAAAAAAAAAATTAAGCAGCACAATCCAAGCACTAAAAGAGAAAACAGCAAGCACAAATACAGTAGTCCCCCTATAGTTTCCCTTTCCATCATTTCAGATACCCGCCATCAACCACAATCCAAATACCATCTGGTTAGAATTAGCCTAACGCTACATCGCAATGCCTATGTCATTCACTGCCCTGCATCTCAACTCATGGGCATTTTATCATCTCACCTCATCACAGGAAAGGTGAGGACAGTACAAGAAGATATTCTGACAGAGAGAGAGAAACCACATTCACATAATTTTTATGACAGTATACTGTTATATAATGGTTCTATTTTATTATTAGTTATTGCTGTTAACTCTTACTGTGCCTACCTTATACATTGAACTGTATCATAGGCATGCATGTATAGGAAAAACCCAGTGTAGTTCAGTACTGTCTGAGGTTCCAGGCATCACCTGGAGGTCTTGGATCTTGTCCCCCGTGGATCAGGGGGAGTGCCACACAGCTAATCTGTCCAATCACTATTCTGTAGCATACTTAAAAGTAGAGTTTCTCATAAAAACCCTGCATGGAAGCGAAGAAACAAATTAGCTCTATGGAAACTGAGGCAAAACATAATTACACAAGTAGTAATTAAAGTGTGAAATGGACTACCTCAAACGGTAAGAGTTGTCAGTATAAACTTATCAGACCAAGGCAGGGGGACAACAACACAGAAAAGAAGCTGGTTTGTGAAGCTTTGAAGATGCACAGATAGAGTGGCTGCAACGAGAAACCAGGGTTTGACGACAAAGCCATCTGTGGGCACATATCCAGTCTATCAGCGGCCACAAAGAAGGACAATAGAACAGCTCAACAGGCTAAGTGGCCTGCATTGCACAAGTCATTTCCTCTTTGTGGGCACCCAAGGCCTTTGTGTGTAAAAATGAAGGGACGAGTGAGTTATCCCTGAGGTTCACCTATTGCTCAACCAGTCCATGATGCTGTATCAGGAAAACTGAACACACTCAGGGCAGCTTTCCTTCCCTGAGCGGAAATAAGATAACCACTCCCATGACCACCATCACCTGATCTTGAAAACTCAAAAAATTAAAACTACCTAACCTTCCCTACAACATTCTCCATCAGTCATATGTTTATAAACATGTGAAGCAGCAGAGTCCTAAGCTCTATAGATCCCATCCACCTGGAACAGTTTCCCAAAGCTGAGAGCCTGCCAAGGGTCTTGGAACCACAACTCTGAGTCACCCAGACTAAGAAAGCACGCTGCAGAAAGCAAAGCCATGGGCCCATCCAGAGCCCTGGAAGGGTCCTGCACCAGAGCTAGTGAAAGGCATGGAAGAATATCCACATGGAGGCTCCTTGAGACTGAAAACATTCCTACACCTGCTACAGACTTGAAGAACAACTGCAGATAACAGGATGGCATGTTACCTACTACCGGTCAATGAAGAACTTAACAATCTGAAAGTGGCTGTGTTTTGGAATAAAGAGGGTACAGCCAAGTCTGTGATAACACCCCTGTTCTCCAAGACTTTAATATCCATTTGGGGAGGCAAGCCATAGGTATGTGGAAAGTTCACTAACAATACCCAATTATCAAAATTAAATGCCAACCAAGTGGTAGAGGAATTACAAAAATTCAGAAAACACTGAAGACAAAGAACCCTTCATGAAGGACTTATTTCGTTTCAATCAGGGCAAATCTTAGGACAAAGGTGGGAAGGCCAAAACATACATGCCATGTTTGAGCAATGGGGAACGAGGCCTGGACACGACATCAGTGTTCAACATTTGTCTTTTACTTTCTTTCTTCTTTTCCCCCAGGACTGGGAAATGCTGAGCAGAGCTGGCCACACAAGATCCCTACCAGGGCTGGGCCAGGGCAGAGACCTTTCAGACCTGCAGAGAAATCGCTCACCTGAGCCCCAAACTTGATGTCATCTCAAGTGTCGTGTACTAAACAACTACTAAAACAAGGTAATAAGTCACCGACAGAAGCAGCAAATGTGAACCTACAATTTGAGATTTGAAGAGAAAAAAGTACTTCAAAAGACCCCAAATCAAAATTTTTAATTCTAAAATTTTAAGGATTTTTGTGATCCTACATTCTAGCCCCCCTCTTTTTTTTTTTTTTTAAGTTAAATCCTTTCTGGATGAAACTCTCATTCCTCACATTTGTTTAACAGTTCCTTAAAACACTCCCTCCAAGTATTGGAGCAGCTCTTCCTGTTTATCAAAAGACTAAAATAAATAGCAGGTCAACAAGACCAGACAAGGAAAACATAAAACTCGTTTGACAGTTGAAGCCACTAATGTGTTCATACGAGTTCAAGAGAAACAACCCGCCTTTTTAGGTAGCCCTACTCAATGTCATACAGTAATCAGGCCCTTCTTACCTTCTCACCACTAGGACATTTCAGGCCAATCTGAGATTTGGACCAAAAATTTAATGTCAAATTCAAGACTTTCAATTTTCAAATCACAGCTGAGTAATGAATATTACATATATGATTTAATTAGCATACATTTAGCACATCCACATATGTGCAATATAATACCAGGGCCCATATTTACTGAAAGTTTATGATGCCAAAAGAGAAGCAAAGCCCATATGGTCTAAGTGAGTATTTATTTTAATGCAAAGCCTCCACTTTCATTCTTGTATGGGTCTGTCTCACAGTCAGCTGACATTCCTGCAGAAACTTATCTCAGTTTTGGATGGACATGCAAACAAGGGCTGGCACCAAAATTTCAGTTCATGGTGCAAGGTGTGTTAGAAAACTTCTCCCTCAAATAAATAAATACAGCATGGATTACTGACATTCGTGGGGTTTTTCCTTACTTTGAAAAAAATTGCCTTGGAGATAATACCATTTTGTATTGTGTCAAGAATTCTTCTCAACTCACCTGAAATAAAACTTAGAGATATAATACAAGTATAGACCACTAGAGTCATAGAAATATTCCAAATTATTTAATAAGGCAAAATCCGTCACAATTTAAATAACTTGCTTTGAAGTAAAAGAAAACACTTTTCAGACTAATTAGAGGACATTTAATAAAACTCTGCAGCATAATATCAGAAAGGCAATATAAGTATCTTGAGATGGGTGGTTAGTTTAGAAATCTACACCAAATAGTCTAAGTACCCTTGAAAAAGTTTACCTAAATGAATATGATACTGAAGCAGAGTTGATTTGGTTGTATATAAATCTTAAGTAACATCACACCCTTTACAAAGGCCAATGGCAACCACAAGAAATTAATTCCAGAGTTAAGAGGATTGCATTGTAAAAATAACGGAATCCTAATCTTCAAATTAAATTATTTCTTTCCTGTATCTCCATGTTGTCTTTGAAAAAGCTCAGACAAATGTGGAAAGAACAGAGTATAAAGTAAACCACGTGAAAATTAGAAAAAAAATAGCGGCTAATACCATAGGAATGCTTCACCAGCATAGTGGATCTGTGGGACAGGGAGGGTGAGGACAGTGAAGGAATCT